GTGTGACATTAAAAGATATTCTTTCAGGCTACAGCCATGCCACCCTGAAAGTGCCCGATCTCATCTGATCTCAGAAGCTAAGCAGGATCGGACTTGGTTAATACTTGGATGGGAGACCACCTAGGAACACCAGATGCTGTAGGCTTTAAAAAAAAAAAAAGGATATTCTTTCATGGAGAGGTGAGCATTGATGAAACAAGAACAACAAAAGACTAATAATTCTTAAAACTAGATAATGAATAGATGGGGTTTGTTATACTATTCGCTTTATTTTTGCGAACATTTGAAAATGTTCGCAATTAAAATTCAAATAAAAAACAAACCAAAATAATGCATATCAGTAGAAGGGTTCAAGGCTTCCTGAAGGCCTCTTGGCTTGTTCGTGTGTGTTTGACCAGCTGCCGTAGGAAAGCTGAGAACTAGAAACTCAGGCGAAGAGTGGAAGTCTCAGATGTGAGGCTTCCCTGGGCATAATCCAAGTTGGAGCCTGGAAGCAGAGAACTAGTTGCAGTGAAGGGAAAACTTTGCCAATGAGCAGGCAGCTAAATTTTATATTTTCTTGGCAAATGAAAGAATTAGGAAAATACTCAGAATTATTGCCTAACTTCTATATTTTTATGCACGTTTTGGTGTTGGCTAGCCACACAATTCACAGCTCATTTTGATCCTGCCTGACTCAGGTAACAAGACCAAATTGTAATAATGACCAAAATATATTAAGGTTTATTATGTACCAGGCATATATGCAAAGCATTCAAGTGGATTATTTTATTTAATCTTTCCTGACAAACCAACAAGTTAGGTATGATATAATTTCCTTTTACAGATGTGAAAGCTGAGCCTTAGATAGGTAGACTTAGGTAAGTCATTTATCTAAAATTATAGCTCTAGAATACAAACCATGACATTCCGACTCTAGAACCCATGTATCTAATCACAGGAAAAGTTGAAGCCCTCTTGAAGCTCACACTATTCATTTAATACATCTCTAAATTTGAGTCTGGGTTCTCTTAAATGCTCCTTTCTTCTAGGGCATCTCTCTCTCAACAACCCTAATACTGCCTCCAAATCCTGCTCCCTGTTCCTGTGATCCTATCCTGCTTGTGGTTTAGTCTCTTCTACCTAGCCCATGTGGACACTCGACAAGGCTAGAGTTGCTTCTGAATTCCTTGACTCTTTCATGCTTTAAAAATGTTCACCTTACCAATTGCCAACACCATGTACATCTGTGATGGACAGAATTGCGTCTGTCCCACCCTCACATCCAATTCATATGTTGGAAGTCCTACTCCCCCCAATGTGACCTTATTTGGAGGTAGGATCTTAGCAGGTAATTAAAGTTAAATGAAGTCATAAGGGTGGGACTCTGATCTGATAGTACTATGGCCTTATAAGTAGAGTTAGAGATCTTCTTCTCAGGTATCTATAGAAGAAAGGTCATGTGAGGACAGTGTGAGAAGGTGGCCATCTAAAAGGCAGGAAGAGAGCACTCATCAGAAAACACACCCTGCCAGAGACTGATCTAGGGCTTCTAGTCTCCAGGACTATGGTATAAACTTCTGTTGTTTAAGCCACCCAGCCTATGGTATTTTGTTATGGCAGCCTGAGCAGATTAAGACACCATCCTACCATCCTTTTCTTTAGCTTCCACTCGAAATGCTTCTGGAAAAAAAAAAAAAAAAACATTATATATATATAAAATGGCTTCTTTCTCTAGAGTCAGCATTATGTAATTGAAAGAGCTCTAAATTTGGACCACATGATTAAATTTCAAGTCATGAAATAAAAAAGAAATTTAGCAAAAATATAAAATATTACTATTAATGCCAGATAAAGACAGCGGACCCCTCTTACTGACACTTTTATTAGCTGACTTCCTAACAGGGTTATCAACAGACTTCTGCCATGTGCTCAGAGCCTCATTGTTAAGAACATGACTTTGCCTTTGATTGGCCTGGCACACTGGAACTCTCTGACTCTAGCTGTCTCAACTTCTGTCACCTCCTCTACAATACGTCATTTTCTGATTTCATTTTCTCCTTCTTCACTGCTATTTCAGAATAATATCTCCCATTCTGTTCAGAGTAATGCCTCTCTCTGGAAACTTGATACCTCCAATTGTCTATCACCTTCTCTGAAAAGTATGTTATTACCTTTCCTGTGGCCTCTGCACTCAATGATAAACTAGACCTTGACCTTGAGAACTTCTTGAGACCAGTCTCCCACTCCTCTCTTCCCCTGACAAAATTCTAAAAGCCTTCATAGTCAAATCTTTCACTAACATAATTTATATAGTTTGTGATCCATCCAAATTATGGTTTCGATCCTACTTGCTCCCACTTCAATGCTTTTCTTGGAATGGCATGCAGCCCTGATCTCTGCCCACCAATTTTTCAAGGTTTACCTAACATGTCACCTCCTCTATGAAACCCTCCCTTAAGTAATTTCTTCTGAACCCCTAATTTAGTTTGTACTTTTTGACAGTTTATTTGTATTGACTGTAGTATCATTATTTCTGCACCCTTAGTTTAGTAGATTATAAACTCATTAAGGCTTTCAATTTAAGACATAGTAACCCTTTAATAATGTCTAATAAATACATTAATAAATAAACTGATTTCGAACAGTATTGTCAAGATTTAAATTCAAATGGGACAAATACAAAGTTTAGGAAGACCAAATTACAATTCGAATGTGAATAAAGAGAACCTGGGGCTATGTAGATCTATATAAAACATAAAAAGGCTTAAAATCCCTGTATCCATTTATTGTCTTCATTGAAACAAAGTGACAGTAGCCAATAGTAGATTGCTGGCACGGAACTATTCAGTAAATGTTGCTTGAATTATCAAAAGAATGAATGCTTACAGTGGTTCTTGGATTATATGTTAGTGATATTTAGAAAGTTTATGGTGAGAAAGCAAATATAGAATTTCGAAGGGTTATCTAAGGCAATGATAACTCTGTGATTTGGGAAGAATAGAAGATTGTCCTTAGAGGCACAGAAGAGTTTACCATTTGAACCTTTCTTATGGTCCCCGTTCTGAAGAAGTTGATTAAAGTAAAGGGTTTTATAGAAATATGCAAATCTCTGGCTGAAGACTCAAGGAGAACTCAAAGAAACAATAAATCAATGTGATTTCAACTGCAGGGGAATAAAGACAATTGCAATTTTAGGTTATAGACATACGATTGTCTGGGGCTCTGCAGTATGTATTCTTTCTAGATTTTAGAAGAAATTTTGGCTTGTTTTTGTTCTAGGATGACAAGATGATTAAAATGACAATTTAGCTATCATTGTTTGATGATTATGGGCCAGCCACTATGCTTATGTCCAGGCACTTAAATTCACATTAGCTCATTTAATTATAGAATAGTAAGAAGAGGGTGATATCATTCCAATCTCATGGCGAAGCTAGAGTCATGCACACCTTACTCAAGGATTAACAGCTAGTAAAGGACAGACCCAGGATTTGGAGCCAAGATTTAAAATAAGTTTTTTGAATCCAAAGCCCACGGCCAAAGTTAAACACATTGGAAAGTAATGGTGTGGTCTCACCACTTCCTCATGGAAAGACATGGACAAATTATTTCTGTTGGACTTTAGTCAATGTTTCTGAGCAAATGTCATTTAGATCTTGATGACTCCACCACATTAACCATCATCTGGAAATTTAACTGAGAAGGTTTACATTTTCTCACATCTATACTCCCTTTACTTACCCGAACTTCTGGCCTCTTGCTTAAAATGTGTTTTCAGACAGAGTTATGCTACCCAATGTCAATGCTACATATGTCCTAGTTGTAATCATGCCCATAATCAAGTATATGACTAGAAAAAGACTAGTTTTGTTAAATATAGCTAGTAAACCCTAGTCAAAATTTGGCAACATTGCTCAACTACTAAATAAATCTTTTTTATTGTAGAATGTAGCACAGAATTTCTAATTCTAGAAGGCAGCTGTCATAAAGAGAATAGCATAGGACACAAAGTGAAGAAGACTAACCTTTTGAGCCCCTAGTCTGTATCAATCACAATGAAAACACTTCGTATTATTTCATTTTTGTCCCCCAAACTACAATGAAAGGCAAGGTTGTGAGGTGCTATATTTTTCAGGTGAGGAAGCCAAATCTCTGAGAGACTGTTAATTTTGCCAATACACAGTGACTAATCCAGCTGGGGTTCTAATCCAACTCTGTCTGGTCTTAGTGTCTATACCCTTTCCATGACATCCCACTGACTTCCATGTCTGCAAGGCCTGACTTCTAACATGATCAGAACCATATTAGCCAAGTTGTCATTAAGCACTCTGTGTCTTTGTTTTTGCATCTTTAAGATAAGGAAAATACTATTTACCATTCAGGGGTTAACACACAACACAGATCCAAAACACTTAACACAGTACCTGTCACATCATGAACATTAAAAAAATGACTGCTTTACTTTACATAAATTATCTGAAACAAGAACCAAAAGAACTTTCCATAGTTTGACATCACTGATCCTCATTTTTTTTCCATTCCCATGATAGTCAATAGCATAACCATTCCATTAACGAAATCTGAAGGAATGGTGAAAAATATTTGTTTTTAACCAATGTATGGATATAGTACAGCTGTTCAGTTAACTCACATTTCTGGATCATGGTGAAAAATGTGGAATATCATGATAAATTCTCCAATTGGTAAAGTAAGCACATGGCTTAGGGAATCAGCAAATCAAGGACACATCTGCTATAAAAAAGGTTCCAGTTACAATAAACATTTCCAGAATTTTATCTGAAAATCTAGAAAAAAGCTGTTAAAATTTAAGCACTCATTTAAATTTTGCTTTTATATTTAGTGCTTTTAAAAAATTTTTCAGTATGGCAGGAGGCTTGGAAAGAAGGCATCTAAAGCTGTTAGCTGTTAAGGTACTATGTGAACACAGTTCTGGAGAACTGTTTGAAGTTTGTGGACTTATAGAAAATACATAAAAGTTAGAAAACACTTAAAAATATATAATATTCAATAATCTTTTCCAAAATACAATGCTCTGCCACCTTACCTGTTCAGAAAAGTGTTTTCTCTCCTGGTTTCTCTAAATAATAATGCCTCAGTTGACAGACAGTAATTGTTTAGCTCATAAATATGCCACTTTTGATAAGTTTATATAAGTAATAAGTAACTGATTAGAAAGTGGTCCTTCATTTTATTTCACATGAAACGGTCCTAGCTTACGTAGCTTTTGATAAGATATGAAAAGTTTAGCTTCAGTGTAAGACCTTTCACCAAATGTTTAGAAAATAAAAATGCATCATCATACAAGGTTTTGGGAAGAACATTTTATTGCTAAGCATATCCTTGAACGAAAATGCAAATATAAAATAAAAGAGAAAAAGAAAAAAAAAAGCAGTAACATCACAACATCATAAAATAAATTCCTTAAGAGTCTGCTCATAAAACAACAGGAATATGATAGCTCACATACAGAATGCACATGTTCCCATAAAATTGTCCAAATAGAACTTACACTAAAAGGAATGTAACAAATGTATTTTTACTCAAATTTTAAAAAATGGAAAGAAAGAAAGCAGAAAATCAGTTCACAAGACCTTAAGACTCCAAGAACAGCAATCTTTTAAAGACATCGAGATATAATCAACTTCATATAGGTTGGGCCATTTAGGTTATCTAAAATCGTGCTTTGATATCTCTTCATAATCCTGTCTTTTTAATGACAAAAAAAAAAAAAAAAGAATCCAAAACTCTTAACACATTGAAATATCAGATAATGAGGAACACCTCTTTCCATAGATTTTAGTAAAGGCTACCATTGTTTAGATTGCACTTTTTGCCCCATGTCTTTAAGATATTTTTTCAAAGTCAAATATTCATGCAGCTTACAAAGACCAGCAAGAGTAGACTTCTAAATCTAAACAGCTGATTGATTTTCATGTATACAAAAGAAATTGTATCTATCCGACCCTCCAGAGGACACACTTCATTTTGTGTGAATATTTGCCTTGCTTTGTCTCTTGCTTTTTGGATAGCTATGGCCACACAACCAATTTGTTTTTCTGTACATTGTTTCCTCTTCATAAAAATTAAAATAAGGAAAAGAAATACAACTGGAATATAAACCAAACAAACTGAAACGAATAGAAAGGAAAGAACAGTTCTGAAAGCAGTATGTACATGGGTGGCTAAGGAATTATACCAGCAAAAATGTAGTAAAATATGTAAACAAAATCTGAGAAGATTTTTAAATTCTCTTTGACACAGTTAACTGTGACAAAACTAAAACTCATACTTTCTTCACATTTTAAGGTTTGCTTTTTTGTTGTTTTGTTATTTTCTTTTAAAACAACATTCTCAATCCAGTTCAAGACTTTAACAGTTTCCCTGTTTCAGTCATCCCCTCAAACATACCATGATAAATATATCTGTATATATATTTATTTATATATATATTATACTATTAAATTCCTTTTGTGTGTGTGTCACAGCAGCTTTACTCATTTATTATTCATTTGTTTAGTTTTAGAAAAGATGGGTGAAGGGAGACATGAGCAAATGGATGGATCGAGTTATCTGTGTCAGGCTACAAAATTAAACCACTATGAAAAACATTATCATGTTGGGGGTGGGGGAAGAACTATGTATCTTGCACTCTTGTCATATCATGTTTGGCTTGTGTGACCTTTTGTGGTTCCATCACAATTTGAACTCCCCAGTGTCTGTTTTGATTCATTAACAGACTTTTAGTATTGTCTTTTCATCTATATTTGCATGCATTTCAAGCAGTCACATATCCAGCCCACCCCCGGTTCCCTTCCCTAGGTAGGAAAGGCTCTGTTTTAGTTTGTGGGGCTCTCTCCTTTACCACAATTTGGCTGGGCTAATGGACAGGAGCAATATTGTTAAGTAAAGCCAATAGCTCTGATAAAACCAGCCCTAACCCCATCTGTTCAGGGTTTGGGTGGCAAATTCTGGAACTAGATCTTGAGGGACCAGCTTTTCAAATCAATATTATCATCCATCACTTAATTTTGCTATGTGTTCAGCAAAGCATCATATAGGAAACAAACAACAGATTCTAAAAACACCACAACCTGATATGTAGAGTGAACACCATGGTAGATTTTGAGTTCATATGGCAATAGTCTTTCTGAGTTTTTTTTTCCTCTTCTTCATAACTTATGTCCAGTCATTCTCAAAAAATAAACAAAAACCCAAAAGCCATTTTTCCCCTCAGATCTTGAAAAGTTACACGCATTGGCCAGAACCAGATAAGGGTGTTTTTTTTTGTTTGTTTGTTTTTAACATTTTTCTTTTCTTTTTTTGTTGTGTTTTTGTTTTTTACATAATTAAACAACAACAAAAAAAAACATTGTTACAGTCAAGCTTCACAAACATTGTTACAGACTCACTTGGAGTTATGGAACAAGTAAGCCATCAAGTCTTCTACCTTGGGCGAAAGGTCCTCAAGAGAAGGAAGCTCCCAAGTCTGCAAAAGTGGGGGAGCCATCTGCTTGCTCCAGAGCGCAAAGTATGTGCTTTATGGTACAGCAGGGCAGAAAGAACCTTCTGTCTCCGGGCGATGACTGAATCAAAGCAGCCATGGCTGAACCGTAAAGGTAGGTACAGCTTTGTGTGCGTCCTTTTAAAAACGGTTTTCCCCACCATAGTCATGGTATACCCCACCTTATAGTTAGCACAGTTCTGACATCTGTTCAATCCCATTTTGCAAGTATTTATATACTGATGTATAAATAATTCTGTTTTAAATTCAGATATTGTTAGCGGTGTCATTTTTACACATAATACTCTTTGTCCTTGTTTTTCTGTTTCTTGTGGCCGCTCTTCGAGCTCTGCTGCTTCTCCTTGAGAAGCGTGCCGTTGCTCTGGGCCGAGTTGCTGATGTAGTTCCGCGTCTCGTCCACTTGATAGGACCCCTCGTCCCTGTTCCTGTACTTGTACATGGCGTACAGGAGGATCAAGATGCAGAGGGCGGCAGCAGCCACAATGCCGACGACCATCCCTGTTGTACTGCTCGACTCCCGGATCACCTCTGAGGCCCCCGGAACCCGTCTGACTCCTGGCTCCGTGGGGTTTGCTGTGGGCACATTACGGAACATGGGGGAAGTAATTAGTGGGCTCTTCAGTTTGGTGCTGTCTAGCTCATAGGCAGTGGGCAACGGAAGCAAGACTATATCAGGCTGGGGTTTGAGATCACGGTTATTCATTTTGCCAGCTGGCAATTTGGGCACCATCCCAGACGAGGAGGAAGCTGTGAAGCGGATGAGCTCAGGGGACAAAGATGTGGTAGTAGTCCTACTAGTTTCGGAGACTTTGTTAGGTCTAAAGTCCTTGGATTCCCACTTGGGCGCATGTGCTTTGTAGCCACCTTCGAAGATTGAAGTGGAAAGACTCTTATCTGTTACCAAGGAGAAGGTGGTGTAAAAATCTTCATCATCAGTAGGGGGCAGGTTAGAGTCAAAGGTTTCCCCTGAGCCATACCCAGATATCACCAAGCCATCATCATCACAACCATCGCTGCCTTGGTCCGACAAGCAAGGTAACCCCGCCTCAGAGGTCATGGACAGGGAATCTTTGGTGGTCTCAATAATGGTGAGGAGGGGGCGGAAGGTAGGGGGGAGTGTAATGGAAGGTGCACGAGTAGCAATAGGAAGGGTAGCTAAAGGGTCTTCTACAAGAAGAGGGATAACTAATTCACCTCCTGGGATTGAAAAGAAAAAGAAACACAGAATTAGCATATTTTCAGATAAACACAATTCAGTCACTCTCAATGAACGCAGTTCATAGGTTACGCCTCAGAAATTACAAAAAAAAATAACCTGGATCCACATATGGATCCTATATGGCGGAAGCCTAACCTTTCTAGGCTGATGTAGAGCCCGTTCATTACATGCCTCTTGCCACCAAAACCTGAAATCCACACATAGCGGGGCATAGATTTTGAAGATGCTCTCAAGTAATTATTTAGATAGAATTCAAATAGGCTGTTTCCAGGATCTGCTTCTGGGTTGATGACATTCAATTATATTGCTGCAAATACTGGCCGTAAAAACTGTGTGTGTGTGTGTGTGTGTGTGTGTGTGTGTGTGTGTGTGTGTGTCTGTGTACATACACACGTGCAGGTGATTAATTTGTGAACCACAGAATTTCTTTATTGCCTTCTTGGGTTTCTAGTTTTTTGCTCCCATGAGGATGAGAATGAAATATTCTCCATGTCACTGAGAGCAAGATCGAGGAACATAAAAGATGGTGTCTTTAATATTTTAAGTTACTGTCTTTTATTTCACATTTATCAAGAGCAGTCTTCATTTACTATATGCTAAGTGAGGGGAAGTTATATGAGGTTGAAATTGTTCATCTAATAAACCCGTTTTGACTATGCTCTTCCAGAAATTCCCCTATTAAATGACAACTTCCCTTGCATTGGTCTAATATGTTAATGCATTGCTTTTATGCTATATGCAATATATCCTGAGCTGGATGCTAGATTTTAAAAATACCCAGCCCAGACAGCTATGACTTACTGGAAACTCACTTTTAGATTCAGAAATGTAGAGATAGCAAAGTGAGTTTTGAAAAATAGTGATTCTTAACTAGAGTGGCAAAAAAATATTGGTTTACCCACAGATCCCAGTTATTGCACTTATGAACATGTAGGCTAGGTCAGGAAAGAAAGTTCAGAATAGTTCACTAAATCGTGGTGCCTTGCAGATCATGGGTATCACAAATGTTCTATGTGGGATGTTACCTAACCGTAGGGCCACACTTATTATTCATGTATATAAGCAAGATCATCAGAGTTTCTTCTGTGTCTCTTTATAGTGTTATTTTTCAAACAGAGGAAGAATCTTGAGAAGTCACGGTTTATGTCTCTTCATTGAATTTTGTCCAAAATATTTATTCCAACTATTGTTTTTAAAAACCCTCTAGCAAGGATGGCATCATGTTCCCCTGTTAGCTGAGATGCTGTCCAAGGCCTCTTCCTGAGTTGGGTAAGTAAGCTCTCAACCACGTACAATGTTCTCGTGTGTTCCGCCTTTAGTAGTAACTTTGCCCTGATGGGATGGTTGTTGCTTGAGCATCTGTTATCAGCTATGACTTGGTTGAGGTGACAAGCCCAGACATGTGGCTCAATATTACAAAGTTCTAGGGACACACCAGGTGGATAAGCCTTTGAGCTTACAGTCTTCCCAGGTTCTTCCTACAAAGACTGACTCACACATTAGAACTCTCTGCTTAGCTTTCCACACTTTATATCTTTAAACATTTCCTGTGCCCCAGTTAGTACTACTGCATCGAAACTGTCTATATTTTAGGTGTGCTAAGAGAAGGCCTCTTGAGAAGAAAGCATATTTTCATAGTACCTGAGAAGAACTGCTTGCGCCCACATCAGAAGCCTTTATTCCCTCCCTATTTGGCCAATAACATTGTGCTACACAGAGAGAAATTGAGCTGGGGAGGGTAGCAATAATGTATGTAATGAGTATCATTTGGAACGGAAGGGATAATGGAGCACTGTACAATCTTCTCTGGCCTACCAAATAATGTTACCATATGTGGGGAAATAAAACAAGAACCTTCCTGAGAATCTCAAGATGATAATTTGGTCCGTGCTCTAAACCCAAGCTTCTTTTTTAGTGCTCAAAGTTTGAAGCTATTAAGCAAAATGATCTTTGAAGATTGTCAAAGCTTCAGATTGGCTTTACTGGACCAGTATGCCTTTTTTCTTACATTGTGAACATATATAATTCATATGTCTTGTAACTTATTTAATGCATTATTTATACACTTTTGCTAGTTTTTATAAATGGGATCTGGAGCATGTTTCCCTAAAGGTAAGCCAGTCACAAAACTAACCCTGAGCTAACTTTTCTCCTCATTCTTCTAGTATAGGGTCTTGAGTGTAGTATCTAAGGTGCTACATGGAAAAAGGTGATGTTCGAATAAGAGAACAATGAGGAGAGAGAAGCGAAGGCTCCTGAAATCTGTTTAAAGGTTCCCTAGAGATTATTTGGAGGTGATTTTACTTTTCTTCAGAGAAAAAGGCAAGAGTTCTCCCCCATCTCACCTAGAACACAGATTTAGCATGTGTGTGCCTTTTTTGGCACAAATGCCAACTCATTTGTTCCTTAGAGCAATGATGAAAATCTACCCCACGTGCAGGGTTGAGCAGAAAGGAAACTTGGTTAAAGGATAAGGAATAACTGATTTATTGGGAGGCAAAGACCTGGTACAAATTATTTAAATATAAAGGCAAATTGTTTAGGATGCTAGTGTCCCTTTAAGTGAGATTAAGATCGCTGTCTTTATGATTACAGAGTGCATTCATTTGCAATTTTAGTGTACCATCTGTGACATCCAAGTGGAGTCTTAAATTTGCCTATTTTTTCCCCCTCTCTATTTCAACCTTAGCTAAAGCTTCTGCAGTGTCTTTGTCGTTAAGAACCTATAGTATCTACAAACTGCTCACTCTGTGGTAGAATCAACCCCACTTTTCTGTGCTTATTCCCTTCTCAGTCAGCACTCTAATCTGAACACCTCTTTTGGATTACCAGAAAAATAAAATAAAATAAATAAAAACCACCCTTTTCATAATGAGATGGAAAGAGGGTCCTTGAAGCTCACTAATTTATAAAGAGCTTCTAAAAGGTCGCTGAGCCCCTAATGAACCCCAAATTGAAATGGTAAGAGCTGAGTTCAAAACTAAATAATGGGTATGTTATTGATGAGTTTAAATGACAGAAGCTCTCAAAACTACCAATCTTCAGTTCTCTTTGCTCTTATTAATTATGCTATCAGTGACATAAATAATAAATGATGCCCTCTGTCAGGGAAATTGGATCCCAAATTCCAGTGGTATTTAGCCAGTGAAATGGTAGAAGCTTTCAGAATCTCCCCTTTCTTGGAATCTCAAGGAACTGGAAGAATGTCTTTAAAAGAAAGTCAACTGGGATGTGGGGGTCATTATTACAAATGAGAATTACAGTGACAAAAGGTGGAAGATTTTAGGTAACTGTTAACATGGAAGGTGCCTGGACAGTGTGTAAGTAGGAGTATATATATAATCAATATCAAATTCCATGTTTAAGAGTTAAGATAGTTACAGTATCCTGGGAGTCCATGGGCACACATCTTTTGAGATGAGGAGAGGAGAGATGTATTTCTCCCATTATTAAATCCTTAATGGAAATGACTTGAAGATTGTGGAAGTCTATTTATGACTTTGCTTCTTTTAATCCAAAGTGACTATCCTCAGAAATGTCAGAGCAGCTGATATTTTTTTTCATTGCCCAAAGTTTGTGGGGTCAGTGATCTACCAGATGTCTATGCTTCCAAAAGTATTCACAGAAGTCATAAAGTCATAAGAGGTTATAGGCAGAGTGATACAAAACCTATAATCCATCAACACTCTTAATTTCCTATTCCATCGCCAGAATTTTTCTTTGGTTTGGAATAAGATCTGTATTCCTTAAAGTTATCATTTTAAATTGGGAACATATACCCTTTTCTGACAGGGTTGTGCTTTTCTTTAAACTAGAGAGATCACTAGGGATATAAAAGGTCTATTTTAGCCCTGAAGGCTGCCCTGCTTTTTTGCTTTATGAGTGTATTTATAGATATATAATTCATGTCTCTAGGGCTGATATCCAGCAAAAGGGGCTCTCTGCCACCGAAAAAGACAGTGTATTAAAAATTTAGTAGAACTCTTCTGAACTGTGAGAATGTTGTATGGGACGGTGAATGGGTCATCTGAAAAATAAGAGCAGCATGAAGTTTCAATGTAGCTCCATCCTTCGTCTCTCTGTAGATATTTGGGTCTAAGAAGTTACAAAAACACCAAAACAAGGACCCTGAAGAGTGAGACTCTGGGAGAGGACACCATGCTCCAATTCTCTGAATTTCTTTTATGTATATTTAAGTTCTTTATCTCATATTTTATTTGCACTTTTCTAATTCTCTGCTTGAAAGTTCACATATAATGGGGAGAAATGATCCCTTTTCCCATGAAATTGGTCATTGGATGATACTCATTGAGTTATTTGGTGCCACAGAAGTGAGTACCTGCAGCACATCAATATTCCAAAGCTTGTAACTATGAAATTGTCCTCCATCTACCTTTAGGAAAAATAGCCACAGACAAACATGGCAAGTACCTAGGGAGAAGATACCACATAAATGCAAGTGTCTTAAAGGGGCTTAACTAACATTTTAATGAGATGAGAATCTCTAGGTAGGGCATTTTTTTCTAGTTTGTTAGAAGTGGGTTTGATACAGATTCCATTTTTCAACATATGCTCAGGTAAGATGAACCATAGCTCCTTGACATATTATCTATTGTAAAATAAGGAATGTCAAGTGGAGTTTTTCATTTGTTTATTGAATAAGAGCTTTGCCTCTGAAGTCACTCAGACTCAAGTTAACATCACAGCTCTGTGGCTTACTAGCCATATGAGTTTGGTTAAATTTCTTAAACTCTCTGTAAAATGAGAATAATAACACAGCCTACCTCAAACCACCAAGGGAAATAATAATAATGCATGTTAATGTTATTATAATGCATGTTGAGTATCTAGCACAGAGCCTATTGCTACCCTGAAATGCTAATTACTAATATCATTTCTACTAATATTTTACATCTACCAACACTGAAAACATTGTTTACTTTCTTCTATTTTTTATGCAGTAGCCTCATGCTAAGGTAGATGTATGATAATATAGGATGCAGATTACTAAGGCTATTTTAAATGCAGAGATTGAGGAATGATTTATTATAGTTCAAAGAACTTGTATTTTAAAAAAAGATTAGCCTTTTATTACAATGACCTGTGGATAGCTTATTCAACAAAAATAAAAGCTTTCAATTCAATCAGATAAAGTAAAGCCCCATTTAGGAAGTTCTTAGTTTTAAACAGGAAATTATCATCCAAAATGTTAAACAATCTAAAGTTATACAAAACTAGGTAGAGAAATCCCAATCATTAAAGCTGCTGGGTTGGAAACATACCTATTATACACTATTCAGTGTGATATTTCTGTAAAAGTTTCAGATAACACAAATATCTAAAATTAAAATGAAACAGGTAATCTCTGTATTTAAAAATTGTATAGCACTTCTTACTGACCATGTTTCATGAAGTGTATAAGTCAACGTTGATCCCAAGGGACAGTCTCACCCTAGAGTCACACAAAATGGCAATGCCCACCTGAAAAGTTCCCTGAGTAAAACTTCAGGTGTGAAAATCAACATGTTTCTTTTTGACAGAATCTTAAGATCCTTTTAAGGCTTACCTGATTAAATCCTTGCGAGAAATGGAAACTATTAACAGAAACGTGGAGAGGGAAGGGGGAGTAGAGAGAGAGAGCTGTGTGCCTTCCATGTATGTGTGTTTTCACCAGTACTTAGTTCTATACATAGGAAGGCATCATTATCATAGGACAACACTCTAAACATCCAAACATCTGGGATTCTAGATGTGTTTATTATCAGTAAAATTGATTTTGTAGCCCGTGGCGATGGTATAATTCTGGATAACCAAATTCAACCGGAATTACTTGAGAGTACCTTATTTCCCCATTTGAGGAAAACAGAAAGGAAAAAAAATAAAGGACAGATTTTTTTGATTTCCTTCTAAGGAGTTAAATTAGATTGTAATTACCACTGATAACACTTGGAGTTAACTCAGTTTCTTCCAAGGTGCAGGCCTCCTGTAGGCTGTAACTGATTCAGTATCCCACTGTAGAGCCTACCATTACTTTCCATGCTTTAAAGTTCTCTCCAGGCAAAGAGGCCAGGCTTTCTTTGGATGTCAAAAACAATTTACTCACCCCACCCCCCGCTACCAAGAGTAGAATTCACATTGATTATTAGAAGCAATTCAGCACAAAACATAACACTGAAAATTAAGCAAATAGACATAAACAAAATAAAATATTTAATACTGTCTTCAAAATCATAGAGTAGAAAATAAAATCAATATCGGGGCTAAAGTAAGCTAGAGGGAAGGAGAGGGAATAGCTTCAACAAGGCATTCACAATATAAGGACAGAAAGAAAAGTAAAAGCAAATTAAAAAAATAGGCTGTTTTTGGAAAACAAAGAAAGAAATTTCTGTACAGACAAAATAATTTAAATTAAAAAAAAGCATACCATATTAATTTATAGTCAACTTACATCAACAAATTGCCCGCATGTTTTTTGGCATGAAAGAAAAATTTACAAAAGAAAGTTGTGTAAGAATGCTCTTGGACAACCAGAATTGCCACATTCTTGTAACTTGCTTTTTTTTTGTTGTTGTCATTTCTTAAAAAAAACTTTTGAGTAAAATGACTAATTTTTCAAATATAATAATTTACAACAGAGGATGATACAGGGAGGCAACAACACATACATCCACACCACATAACATAAAAAGAAAAAAAATCTGCACTTTAACAAATTTTTACTTTGAGGGGCTTGGGAGGGCATCGATTTTGAATTTGAAATAATTCCGATTGCAATGATTTGAAAAATTTAAAGAAAAAACCTGTTTACCTTTATAATTTGCCTTAAAAAAAAAAATCTATGACTCTAGAGGGTTTTGGATGAATTTCTGCATTGTTATAGGTTCTCAGATATATATTTAATTTTTTATTTTTTTGTCTTTTTGACAAGTTTTAGACTTTCTTTAATTTAAGGGGATGGATGACAGCACAAAATTTGAACAATGCTAAAGAAAGGAGGGGAATGGGAGGGAAAGATGCAGAAAGGGTAGGGTTGTATCTATGAGTGTACTACACAAGAGATGAAGATGATGGGAGTAAATGTGTAAGTGAGTCGCCATGTCCATGTAAGGGCGGCACGGAGTGATCTAGCTGCATTAGAGCTTCTGGCTGTAAGGAAGGGATGGGCAATATACAAAAACAAATGAGCCTACACATGCCCATCTACAGAAATAAAGAACAGAACTCTAACACTGACAATCTCACACACCCTAAGCTGCAACTTCTTCAACATGCAATTACTTCAAAAAATTATTACAGTTTCATTAATGGTTTTCAAATGATAAAACAGTTAAACTTTTTTCTTGCTAAAAATAGCCAAAATACATAAAATAATAATACTAATAATAGTGATTGAAAGCAAAAAGGAGACTAGATTTATGCATTCAAGTTGAACAACTTCATCAACAGCCACACAGCCCCATCTAGAGTTAGGGGAAGGGCTTAGAGATCGGCAGAGGCAATGGACAGGTACAGTTGTAGTATAGGGAGCCTGCTGGTGGGGTTGATAATTACTTCCCTACATAGAAATGGCGCCGTCTGAATAACGTCATCCATTTCCCCCTTGCCACCCGTGGTGCATGTGATTCCCAATGAGACGGACTAATTTGAAAGATGTGGATGTGGAGATTCTGCAGCTGAAGTTGTTCCACATTTAAAGAGGGAGTGGGGATAAATTGCAGAAAACAATTCATAACTTTTTTCTCATAATTTTGGATAAAACCAAATCTAAAGATCTAGCAATTAAAAAGAAACACACCAATATTTTATATATATATATAGATAGATATATATAATACAAAAAGCACTTAATTCCCAAACAAGAAGGGAGTAAAGGACCAAAAAAAAAAGTTTTTGTAAAAAGGTATTTCACACACTTTCAGAGATGAACAACCAGATGCACACGCTGAGGAGGCACAGACAGAGCAGTCAGGGGACACGTTTTTTGCTTTTCTTTTTCTGGCTTGTTGATTCCCCTTTTGGTGATAGCCAAAATTAAAAACAAATTTTGCATTTTTTTAAAAAGAAATTTTGCATTTTCTTAAATTTTTTTTTTAAATTTGGTTTTGCTTCTTTAAAAAAATAAAAAGGGCGTGCAGTCTGGATGTACGTCATAAGTAGACATTTTAAAAGAGGAGTGGCTAAGACTGACAAATGGGTAATCATCTATTGTCCTTTAATTGTAAGAATGTTAATCCAGTTCATACATGCTTAAAGTAAGTTGCATTTAGGGAAAATAGAAAAACAGAACAGCAAGCTAGGGTTGGGAAGAGGTCAGCAAGACAAACCGATTTGGAAGTAGGAGAAAGGGATCGGATTTAGTTTCACACCCTTCCAGTAGGAGCAAAGGACATCCAAGGCTTCTCGCCAATTTCAAGAAGGAAAGCGTGGACATATATATGTGTTTTCATGTTGGGGGTTGAAGTAGAGCCCGAGTGGCAGGATTTTAAAAATAGACATAGGTTCTGTTCTAGGAAATGTATCCCATATTCACTCATAGCCTAAGAAGACATATTTGATAAAGGATAGAGATTATAACTAACATTGTCCCAAATGAGTGTTCTTGGGCATTGCCAAATTGAAAGGGCACCAAGGGTGACAATAGGGGCTTAATAAAATGAAACTGATAAATGAAATAGCATATATAGATAGATAGATAGATAGATATCTATTCATCTACTATCTATCGATAACTATCATCTGTCTATATCTATCTATCATCTATCATCTATCTATCATCTATCTACCTATTTATCTATCATCTATCTATATCATCTATCAATCATCTATCATCTATCAACTATCATCTATCTATATCTATCATCTATCTACCTACCTATTAATCATCTATCATCTATCTATCTATCTATCTATCTATCTATCTATCTATCATCTATACACATACTATATTTTTAGTAATTGAGGCAAAACCCCAAAGAGCATAATGGCATCACGTCCATGTCTGTAACCTACGATTAGGAGATGAGCCTGGTTTATTGGAGTCCAATGGGGAAAACCATACCAGTCTTCTAGAGACCACTTGGGAAACAAAATATTCCATTCAGCCTACCTTGAGAAAAGGAGAAGAGAGAGAGGGTGAGTGAGTGTATGTGTGAGTATCGAGGGAAAGATACTGTGGAAGGGATGTGGGAAAGGAGTTTTTTTACAAATGGCCTCGGCCTCTACTGGAAGAGATCACAAGAGTTATAGTCAATATTACATCCCTGTGAGAACATTAATGTTCAACCAAGGACTGGGAAACCTGGGTAGGCAAACCACAAAGGCAAGACCCTTGAGAGCACCTGGTTCTGACAGCCAATTCCAATCACTCCCAAGAATGTTTTTTGGGGGGATGACTTTGGCAAATAGAATATATTGTGAGGATGAGTCAGACTTTTGCCCCCTATGGGACGCCCCTTTTATTATTTTATATTAAAATAATGCTAGTAATGTGTCCCCATGGGTCAGTCCGTACCAAGATTTTTAGTCTCTGGTTTAATAATGGTAATCATTATTCTAGGAACTTCACAAAGGACAGCTGGGAGGTTTTAGGAGGTGAAAAAAAAATCCCTATAGTATAGGAAAAGAAAAACCCTTGTTGTTATTTAGGTGATTTTGGGGGGGGGGTGATTAATTATATTTTTAACATTTAATTTTATTGTATGAGAAGACCTTACAATGCCCTATGGCCCCATAAGGCATCAAATGACTTCTGTTGCACAAAGATAGTTATGACAATGTTCATATGGGCTGTTTTTGTATCATAGGCAATTTCTTAAAATAGGAAACATAACTGGTCTAAGTATACTTCCAGTGTATACATACTCCTGGATAATAAGGTGTTTTGAGGAAGATATAGCAGCACTTTGGGTCTCCTGAGGTTTCTACTGAGTAATTTACCTACTTCAAAGTAGCCTGTTTTAAAATTCGTACAAGTAGGACACCACTTACATTTTGGAAAATACTGGCTTTAATAATTGAACATACCAAAATTTATGGTTGTTACTTCACAAATAAAATATGTATTTTTTAAACCCATGGAAGCAAGAGTTTCAAATGAAGCCAACGCAACCTAAATGCAGTGCATACACATTTTTATAATATGTCAGCCATCAGTTAACATGCATAAAGTTTGTTTGGTTTCTATATTTCTATAATATTGCTAGCAACTCATAATCATGTCACAGTTTCATCTTTCATTAGCTGTCTACACAAGGTTTTTGTTATCAGTAACTGCATGGTTCTGTATCTCCATCTCTACTGGGTATAAAGAATGCTTTAGCATTATTATTTTTTTTTTTTTTGCCATTGAAAACAAATAATACAATCACTTGACTTGACATGGTATATTTTGATGTGACCATTTTTATTCTGCCATATCCAAATAATCCTGTTTAAATGGAAAATCAAACTTTTAAAAACTACAAATGCAATAGGATGAACTCTCGCTGGTCAACATTCATCTTAGAGAATGCATTTTTTTTTTTTTTTCAGAGAAATAAGTTTCTAAACTGCTTGGAATTGTGCTTAAGAAGCCCAAAGACATACTCAAGTAACTCAAGTTGCAAACCCACCTCTCTGAGAGAGTGGGTCCTGCTTGCTAAAGGGCATTGTCTTCAACGTATCCAGGCGAGGTAGAAGAAGGCCCAAATGAATTACTTTGCATGAGATTAAGTATTTTAAATTTCTGAGGGAAAATCCTGGAGAGCAGAAGAGGGAAACTTCTTGGGAATCTGACTACAATATGAGGGAAGACTTAAAAAATTAAGCAGGAAGATCAAAGAAAGGAGTTTGGATAACAAATACCTAATGAAAATATTCAAGATTTTTCATCAGATACATGTGGTAAACTTCCTCATCTGTCCCTCCTATGAAATACATTTCATCAATTGTTATTTTATGTGTCCATGGGATGAGGGGAGGAATTCTGGGAGAATCAGTGGCTCAAGTCTCAAAAATGGAGACTCTAAACTTGGATATGGAATCCTAGGAACGTGAGGATTATTCACAAACTATTAGGCACTTCTAATACTATTAAAGTCCAAGACATGAGATAATATAAAATATTTATTTTATCAACATAAAAAGCCACCTGTGTGCCAGTCAGAAATGAAGGCTCTGTTGGAAATACTTTGTTCCTCTAGCTTTAATAGCCAAAGACTTTTTCAACTGTCCTCCTCCTGTCCTGGCCTCTCATATCTCCATCTCTTGGCTGGCCCCAGGCTTGCACCTAGACTCCCTTAATTTTCTGGTTGATCCCATCCAGCTCCTTGGCTGTAAAACCTACCATTCTCATGAATTCCAGTTTCAAATGCCTATTCAACATTTTTGCTTCACTATCTAAGAGGCATCTCAAATTCAAAAGGGCCCAAAACAGAATTTTGGATTTGACTCTCCTCCTAAATTTGTACCTCTTCTCAGATTTCCCATATCTTGTGTTTGACCCAGGTATACAAGACCCTAATCAGTCATCATACTTGAGCCTCTACCCTGACTCACATCCACATATCTAGTGTAACAGGAAGTTCTCCTGACTCCTCTTTGGCAACCAATTTCTAACATATCTCTTTTTGTCCATTGCCATTACCCACGTCCTAGAGTAAGCTACCATAATTCCTTGCTTGGACTCTGCAGTAGCCTCCCAATTCTTCTCCCCACCTCCAGTTTTGGCTTCCTAAAATCCATTCTCCATAATGAAGCCAAAGTGATTTTTAAAAACTGTACAATATAGATCAAACCAAGTCACTTTCCTGCTTAAAATCTTCTCAGATAGAATTGTCGAAACCAAAATTCTGTACTCTGATCCACTGTAGAAGTCCCCTGTGATCTGCCTACCACTCCGGTCTCATTTCCTACAGCTCCCCATGACCCTGAATGTCTCAGACTCTGGCAATATCCTCCAGCTTCTCTTCTAGGAACACTCCTTTTCTTGCTCTTTGTCTGGCTAGTTCCTTCTGGTAGTTCAGGTCTCTCCTTCAATTTTACTCCTCAAAGAGGCGATACACAACTGCCTAGTAGCAGCCTGTGCATAGGATTTACTAGTTGACTCTTGCCCACTTATTTATGGAATATAAGCTCCATGAGAACAGAGATTTGCCTTATTCTCCACT